AAGCTTTCCACGGGGCCTTCAAACCACAAAAATCGTCCCATTCCCTTCGTGAAACTTACAAGTTTAGCATATTCGCCTTTCGGATTTCATCAGCTTTCAAGACGGTTTCAAAGCCCCCGAGACCGCCTCCAGACGCCCCAAAAGGCCCGCAAAGAAGCTTCAAGACGGCCGAGCCGGGCCCCACGATCGCCCAAGACAGCCCATAATGGAACCAAGAGGCCTCCCAAGGGCTCCCAGCATAAACCCAAAAGGGCCATGGGAGGTCCCCGGAAGTGCCCAAGATGGGTCCAAAGGGGGCCCCAGCGGGCCCAAGCGCCCCAAGACGGCCCAAGAAGGCCCAGGACGGCCGATGAAGGCGCCAAAGCGGCCCACGAGGGCCCCGAAAACACCCCCACGATGTTTCCGAATGCCAACATAATGACCCCAAAGGCACCCCAAGAAGCTTTCCAAGGGGCCCTCAAAACACAAACATCGTCCCATTCCCTTCGTAAAGCTTACAATATTAGCAGATTCGCCTTTCAGATTTCATCAGCTTTCAAGACGATTTCAAAGCCCCCGAGATCGCCTCCAGACGCCCCAAAAGGCCCCCAAAGAAGCTTCAAGACGGCCGAGCCGGGCCCCACGATCGCCCACGAGAGCCCCAAGACGGCCCATAATGGAACCAAGAGGCCCCCCAAGGGCTCCCAGCACAGACCCAAAAGGGCCGTGGGAGGTCTCTGGAAGTGCCCAAGATGGGTCCAAAGGGGGCTCCAGCGGGCCCAAGCTCCCCAAGACGGGCCAAAAAGGCCCCAGGACGGCCCATGAAGGCGCCAAAACGGCCCACGAGGGCCCCGAAAACACCCCCACGACGTTTCCGAATGCCAACATAAAGACCCCCAAGGCACCCCAAAAAGCTTTCCAAGGGGCCTTCAAAGCACAAAAATCGTCCCATTCCCTTCGTAAAATTTAAAATCTTAGCATATTCGCCTTTCGGATTTCATTAGCTTTCAAGACGGTTTCAAAGCCCCCGAGATCGCCTCCAGACGCTCCAAAAGGCCCCCTAGAAAACTTCAAGACGGCCGAGCCGGGCCCCACGATCGCCCATGAGAGCCCCAAGACAGCCCCATAATGGAACCAAAAGAGCCGTGGGAGGTCCCCGGAAGTGCCCAAGATGGGTCCAAAGGGGGCTTCAGCGGGCCCAAGCTCCCCAAGAAGGCCCTAGGACGGCCCATGAAGGCGCCAAAACGGCCCACGAGGGCCCCGAAAACACCCCCACGATGTTTCCGAATGCCAACATTCATTGAGTTTGCTCCCATGACATTTCACATTGTGATCCAGTCGTTGAGGGTCTCGTGGCATGCAGCGAAGATGCCCGAGGATGCCCCGTACGAGTTGCATATGCATGTTCATACCCTTACACACATAGCACTATTTTTACACATATACGCTGTAGACACATACAACAATGAACGTCTACTGTATACACCTAGACATTTACACGGAACGTGCATGCACGCGCGCGTGTGTACATGCAGTCGCGCATGTTCGCACGCACGCATTCCGCTTGCGTGCAGAACTCAAAGGACCAAGGTGCATGGCGCGCAGCGCCAATGCAGTCTTGTGTGTGTATATATATATATATATATATATATATATATATATCGGAGGTGAGGGGGTAAGATCGAAGTGGAACGGAGAGCCCCCCTACCGGGAAATCGGTTTCGGTTTCGTGTTCGTGCGCGGCGTGCGTGCGGGCGAGGCGAAGTTGCGTAGGCGGGCGAGAAATAAGTCTCCTGTAGCTGAAGCGCGGCCGGACCAAAAGTCTCCCTTCCGGCAACCAGTGCCCCGCGGTGTCCCGTTCGGGCACCGGTGGCGCGCGGTGTCCCGCCGGTGTCCCGTCGGTGTCCCGATGATGATAATAATGTACATGATGTTGACGATGATGATGATGATGATGATGATGATGATGATGATGATGATGGTGATAGTGGTGATGATGATGCTGGTGCCCCGATGATGGTGATGTTGTTGTTGTTGATGATGATGATGATGTTGCTGATGATGATGATGATGATGATCGCGCCCCGATGATGATGATCATGATGATGATGATGATGTTGATGATGATGATGTTGATGATCATGATGATGTTGATGTTGATGTTGATGATGATCATATGATTTGATGTTGATGAAGACGATGATGATGATGGTGTCCCGATGATGATGAAGAGGTTGATGATGATGCTGTTTGTTGATGAAGGTGATGATGATGATGATGTCCCGATGATGATGACGATGATGGTGTCCCGATGATGATGATGTTGATGATGAGGATGATGATGAGGTGATGACAATGATGTTGATGATGGTGGCCCGATGATGGTGATGATGATGCTGATGTTGATGATGATGGTGATGGTGTCCCGATGATGTTGATGATGATGGTGACGAATATGGTGTTCCGATGATGATGACGATGTTGATGATGATGATGTTGATAGTGATGATGATGATGGCGTCCCGATGATGATGACGATGATGATGTTGATGATGTTGTTCATGACCATGATGATGAGATGAAGATGATGATGATGATGGTGGCGATGGTGAAGTTCCGATGATGTTGATGATGATGATGATGCTGCCCCGATGATGATGATGTTGATGATGATGGTGACGATGATGGTGTCCCGATGATGATGATGATGATGTTGATGAGGTGATGATGATGATGTCCCGATGATGATGATGATGATGATGATGATGATGATGATGATGACGTTGATGACGATGATGTTGATGTTGATGATGATGATGTTGATGATGATGATGATGATGATGACGTTGATTGTGATACCGATTGTGATATTGACAGCGAGATGGATAGTTAGTCCGAATGTGAGATCGATTCTGAGATCGATAGTGAGATCGATAGTGAGATCGATTGTGAGATCGATAGTCAGATCGATTGTGAGATCGATCGAATGAAATAGATCGAGTCAGATCGATTGTGAGATCGATCGAGTGAGATCGATCGAGCGAGACCGATAGTGAGATCGATGGTGAGATCGATAGTGAGACCGATCGAGTGAGACGTTGGTTCCTCCCCCTCCGAACCTCCTTATCTCCCGAAGGGTAGTCGTATAGGTGTATATACATATACATATATACATGTATATGTATATTTGTATCGGAGGTGAGGGGGTGAGATCGAAGTGAAACGGAGAGCCCCCCTACCGGGAAACCGGTTTCGGTTTCGTGTTCGTGGGTGCCGTGCGTGCGGGCGAGGCGAAGTTGCGTGGGCGGGCGAGAAGAAAGTCTCCTGTGGCTGAGGCGCGGCCAGACCAAATGACTCCCTTCCGGCAACCGGTGGCCCGCGGTGTCCCGCCGGTGTCCCGCTGTGGCTGAGGCGCGGCCGGACCGAATGACTCCCTTCCGGCGTTCGGTGTCCCGCCGGTGCCCCGCCAGTGTCCCGTCGGTGTCCCGATGATGACGGTGATGATGATGATGACGACGATGATGATGATGATTATGATGATGATGATGGTGATGATGGTGATGATGATGCCGATGATGATGGTGATGATGGTGATCATGGTGATCATGGTGATGATGGATGTGTTGATGATGATGGTGATGATGGTGATGATGGTGATGAGGGTGATGATGGTGATGATGATGGTGGTGATGATGATGACGTTGATGATGTTGATGATGATGATGATGATGATGATGATGATGTTGATGTTGATGATGATGATGACGTCGATGGTGAGATCGATTGTGAGATCGATAGTGAGATCGATAGTGAGACCGAATGAGAGATCGATTGTGATATCGATAGTGAGATCGATTGGGAGATCGATCGTCAGATCGATTGTGAGATCGATCGAATGAGGTCGATAGTGAGATCCGGTGTCCCGCCGGTGTCCCGTCGGTGTCCTGATGATGACGGTGATGATGATGACGACGATGATGATGATTATGATGATGATGGTGATGATGGTGGTGATGATGATGACGATGATGATGGTGATGATGGTGACGATGGTGATGGTGGTGATGATGGTGATGATGGTGATGATGGTGATGATGATGGTGATGATGGTGATGATGGTGATGATGGCGATGATGATGGTGATGATGATGATAATGAAGTTGGTGATGATGATGATGGTGGTGATGATGATGATGATGTTGATGTCGATGTCGATGATGATGACGTTGATTGTGAGATCGAGTGTAAGATCGCTGATGATGACGACGATGATGATGATGATGTTGATGATGATGATGATGGTGATGATGATGGTGATGAGGTGATGATGATGATGGTGCCCCGATGATGCTGGTGATGATGATGTTGATGGCGTTGATGACGATGATGTTGATGATGACGTTGATTGTGAGATCGATTGTGATATCGATAGTGAGATCGATAGTGAGACAGTGTGAGAGCGATTGTGAGATCGATAGTCAGATCGATTGTGAGATCGATCGAATGAAATAGATCGAGTGAGATCGATCGTGAGATCGATCGAGTGAGATCGATCGAGTGAGATCGATCGAGCGAGACCGATAGTGAGATCGATAGTGAGATCGATATAGTCAAACACCCTAATAAGGACGCGCGATTTTGCTCAGGGTACCCTTGCGTCCTTGCTGTTCCTTGCTCTTGCGGCTCGTCCTTGGCCTCTTTCGCTTGCCCCAAAAATCCCAACTTCGGTTTCCAAGGGTCTTGCGTCCTTACCGCGCGTCCTTGTTAGGGTTTTAGATTGTAGTGAGACCGATCGAGTGAGACGTTGGTTCCTCCCCCCCCGAACCTCCGTATCACCCGAAGGGTGGTCGTATAGGTATACATATATATATATATAGACGTGTACATGTATAGGGAGAGTCCCAGGGGCCCTGGGGAGCACTGATGTTGTACATGGCAGTTTTGGACCCGTCGGGGAGCGCCAAGACGCGCCAAAGGGGGGGGCAACGAGCGGGCCCAGGAGACGTCCAAGAGCTTTCCGTAGCCATGCTGGCTCAAGCCGCTTCGGCTTTGGAGGAGCCGTTCCGGTTTATGGCCTTGCGCTGCCGCGGGGCAGCACGAATCGATGATTTTCAGGGCGTGTGTTAGCCCAATGCGTGTTTACCCCGTTCAGCCCAACCAGTCGATCATCACATTGCCTCCGTCATATTGAAAGGCCTCAGTGGGCAAACACACGTTGGCGCTAACGCACGTTCTGAGGATCATCGAACGAATCTTTGCATCACCGCTGGGTTCTGTGCCATGGGAACCAGGGAGCGTCGGCTGCCGCCGGCATCCAGCCAAGAAAGGGTAGAGAGCTATGTTTCTCGCATGGCCTCGCAGTTCCCCGCGAGCTATGCCTTCGCCACCCTGGTGCCATGGAGCTCTCCGCAGCGACCTAGCAAGCTCATCACACCAGACTCCGCGCATGAGGGCCATTGGGATTCAGAGGAGATCGCGTCCCTGACCTCCGAGTGCACCAGCTTGCTGGTGCCATGCACGTTCGAAACGCGCTACGAGAAGCGCGTGATGAATAAGTTGTTGGAACAGCTCGAGCCGCACCGTGACATGGCCGTGTTCATGCTGCAATTACTTGAGGTCCCGGGTGAAATGAGCCGAGAGTACGTGCAGACGGTCATGACGCGCCACGACGCGCTCCTGGCCATCGGTGCCAACGCTGTGCTGTTGGATCCCGGTGACACTCCAGATGGGCTGCTGCGGAGTCTCGACCAAGAGAAGGCTTGGTTCGAAGCGAATGCGCGGCGTGCAAAGTCGATGATCGATTTCAACGACGAGCATTTCCAGTCGATACTGGACTATCACCACGAGCTGCTATGGGAGAACGTCCCGAAAGCTCTGATGCCCAAATTCGACCCCATCGATCCCAATCTCGTGGAGACGGCCAACAGGGTGGGCGATTACCAGATGACCAATCGTTTCCACGCAAGGAGCGGAAAAGACATTCTGCTTGCCGATGGGAGCGGGTTCGAGAAAGTCGTCCTCAAGGTCTACGACAAGTCGGACCACGTGTCTGCCGGAGACCTGGAGCGCATCCACCGCGAGCTGCGGTTCCTGAGGGACGTGCTGAGGCATCCGCACGTCGTCCGCTGCACCAGAATGTGCCACAGCTTCTCCCGGGTGTACTTGGTCCTCGGATTCGGGGGCACGCAGAATATGCACCAGCGCCTCTTGGACCAGCCAGGGTACCGCCTCGATCTGGAGGATGCTGTGGACTGCACAATGCAGATAGCAGGAGCGCTGGCCTACTGTCACTCACAGGACATCGTGCACAGACAGGTGTCTCTGGAGCACATCGTCGTGGAGGACCAGTCTGAAACGCCCTTCTGCCGCTTGGTGGACTTCAACCAGGCGACGCGCTGCCCAGAGTCGACGCTGCTGACCACGCCGAGCGGAGACCTGCCGTGCATCGCTCCGGAGGTGGCCCTGGACGAGTCGTACGCCGCCAAGCCTGCGGACTGCTGGAGTCTCGGGGTGGTGCTCCTCGAGGCCGCCGGGGGCCTGGGCTCGATGCGGCAAGCGGTCGGCTGGCCGGAGGAGGCGGAGCTGGAGCCCACGGCCAGAAGGATCAAGAATTTCTTCTCCGGCGAGGGAAGCCACGCTCGCGCATTGGCGGTCATGGGCGGCGTGCGCAGCGAGCCGGTGCTGGCCAACCTGTCCGCACTCCTCGAGCCGACTCCCACGACTCGGGCGGCCATGGACGCCATCGCGCAGTCCTCCGCCTAAACCTGCGGCGCCTCGGAAGGCCCCGAGGGCTGGAACGGGGAAAAGCTCAGCGACTTGAGCGTTGCGTAGTTTTCTGTAGTGTCGTGTCAGGCCAATTGGCATTGTTCGAACTATATCATTCTCTGTTTCAAGGGCACTTCGATGTTCCTGTCGCTTTCAGCGCGTCCTCTGTGGGCCAGAGGGCAAGTGTAGAGACGGTCAAGAAGGCCCCAAGGCGGCCCGAACGCGCTCCAAGAGAGTCCACGACCGCCCGAGAGCATTACAAGGTGCCCCAACGGGGTTTCAAGACAACCCCAGAAGGCTGCAAGACGGCCAAGGGGCCCTCGAAAGGAGTCCCACGACGCCTTCAGGAAGCGAAGCGTTTAGTTGTCCTGCGATCTCGAAAGGTTTTCTGTGTGTGTGGGTGTTTTCCATGCTTCCGACGGGCCAAGACAGTCCGCGAGGCCCCAGAAATCGGCCCATGACGGCCCAAGCGGCCCCCAAAAAGGGCCCCAGGACGGCGCAGAGAGCCCCAGGACGCCCCAAGGGCGTTCCAAAACTATCCTAAGAAGGCCCAGAAGGTCCCAAATGGCTTCGAGAGAGGTCCAAGAGGGCCCCAAGAGCCCCCAAGAGGGCCCCAACAAGGCCCCAAGACATAGTCCTCCAAGACGCTTCAAAAAATGGGTCCTAGGACGGCCTGAAAGAGCGTGAAGTGGCCCAAAAAGGCCCCAAGAGGACACCCCAGAAGGCCCCAAGAGCTCCAAACACCAAGGATCCTGAGTGCGGGCGGTGGTGTGAGCTCAAGACGGCCCAAAAGCGGGAAAAACGTCGCCTCGAGGTGCGTGCGGCCGCTGCGACGACGCGCGCGCCCCCGAAGACAGAAACAGACCCCGGGCCTCGAGCCTCGCCCGGGGGGCCCAGCGCCTCGCTGCGACCTCGCCCCACCTCTTGAGATCCCCTCCCCGGGGCCTCCAAACAGGCCTCCGGCCAGCCCAAGATCGGGGGCGGGAAAGAGGGGGGGGATGACCTGGACGTCCTCTTCTCCCCCTCTACCCTTTCCCCTCCTGCTCGTCATCCTCCTCTTCCTCCTCCCCCTCCTTCTCCTCCGCCTGCTCCTTCTCCTCCTCCTCCTCCTCCTCCTCCTCCTCCTCCTCCTCCTCCTCTTCCTCTTCCTCAGCCTCCTCTCCTTCTCCTGCTCACTCCTCCTTCTCGCCCGAAATGGGTACGGAAAGAATGGGCACAAGGCCCAACAGCAGAATGTTGCCCCAAGCCAACAGCAGCCGCTGTTGGGCAGGCAGCCTTCTGCTTCGAATGGGCACAGGCCGCGGCGGCGTGGACAGCGAGTCCTGTTCAAAATGAACCAGATCCGCTGTTGTGCATTGTACCCATTCTTTCCGTTCCCATTTCGTTCGTGCAGAGATGACTAGGGGTGGGTGGATATCATGGCGCGGGCCATGATATTTCCCCGGATTTCATGGCGCCTCTTATCATTTCATTACGTCCCTGGCCGCCCCCCCCGCTGGGCCGCGCACATGCCGCCGGTCATGATTTGCACCCCCCCCTCTTGGACACCCCCCTCTTGGCTGCTCCCGAAAACAGGCCTCCCTCCAGCCGGCCCAAGAGGCCTCCAAGACAGCCCAAGATAACCTCAAGACCGCCTAAGAGGAACGAAGGTGAGCCAAATGGCCCCAAAGGGCACCAAGAGCGCTCAGGATGGCATCAGCGCAGCTCAAGACGTCCCCAGGACATACCGGGAGAACACCCCGCGTGCCCCAGAGAGGTTTTGATGAGGCCAAATGCATTGATGTTTTTGAGGTTTTGAGCGATGTTTGTTTGTTCGTTCTTCCTGGTTTCCGACCGCCCAAGACGCTACAAGATGGGCCCCAGACGGCCTCGGCACGGCCTTAAGAGTGCCCGACGATAGCTCAAGAGGCCCTCAACTCGGCCCTAAAACAACCTCAAGAGATTTTTCAATAATGACCATGCAAGCCCCCAAGAGGGTTCCAAAACAGCCCCCAACGACGCCCAAGACCGCATCTGCAGCATGCGTCCGTCCAAGAGGCCCAAAGAACGCCGAAGGATGGCTGGAGGTGGCTCGAAAGCTCTTCAGTAATGAAGGCAAAGTCATCGAACTTGAGGCCTTGCCAGTGCGACCAGGAGGGTTTTTGTGTACGTGCTCCGCCAACTGGCGTGACAGCGCGTGCATGACATAGCGAGGCTGCGGCAAATCCTTTCTCCGTCCTTTATATATCTTCGCCACCAGGCGTGGCAGCGCGTGCACAGGCATTTTCCCCTGAGTCTTCTGGCATTTTGTTCATTGGCTGACGCCGCACCGCCGACCCCTTGGGGCGGCAGTAAGAGTGAACAGCGGAGTTTGCGGAACGTGCTCGATTTCTGGGGAATCTTGGGGGTTCAGTTTCTTGGGATTTCGTCGGGGGCGGTTGGCGGATCGCGGCTCTGCTCTTGGGCTTCTCTGGGCTCTCTTGGCCGCACTTTTGAGGCCTCTTGGGAGCGGTGTTGAGGCCTCCAGGGGCCTCGTGGGAGCCTCTTGGGGGCCTCTTGCCGCCTCCTCAGGTTTTTGTCGGGGCCGAGTGCTCGAAATGTCCATTCGGGTTCCCCCTCTGGGCCTCCTCTTGGGGCCCCACTGGGGCACTCCTGGGCCGTTTTGGAGGCTTCGGGGGCCATCTTAGGGCCATCTTGGGGCCCTCTTGGGCCGTGTTGGAGCCCTCTTGGGGGCCTCTTGGGCTATCATGGGTCGATCTCGAAGGCTTCTTGGGCCGCCGAAAGGCGTCAGGGACATCTCCAGAGGCGCAAAAGGAGCCCCAAAAAAGCTTGTGGCAGGTAGAGGGAAGAGCACACTTGAAGAAAGAAGAAGGAACGACAATGTGACAACGGTGATGGCGAAAATTGCTCCCAAGAGTGATCGGTGCTTTGATTGACCTGTTTCTTTCTCCCATTACTCCTGCCTGTTAGAGGTGGATGATCTGATTAGGTACATAACGCGAAGCGCAAATGCAGTTTTAAACATAAATATCTATACACGTAGTCCGCTCGGGCGCTTTCCTGGCTCACAGTCAGGCGGCCTGTTTTGCTGTGATCGGTATGCTTGGCACGCCCGATCTCCCTCAAGGCCAGCTCGTTCTCGGTGACAGGGGCCGCCAAAGCATGAGCTTTGACCAGGACCCGTGCAGGCGCACAGCTGCTGCATTCCTGTCATGTCACCACGAGGGCGCCAGCGGCGCGCTTCCCTCGGACACGCGCCAAAGGGAGAGGGGGGCAGGCCTCTTAGAAGCGCCCCTGGTTCTTGGAAGGCCAGGGCCCTGTCTAAAAATGCAAGGGCTGGCGCCTTGTGAGGAGCAGCCTCCTTCCAAGAAGCCCGCCCCCCTCCCCCATACCACCCTCTGCGCGCCGCCAATTCCCACCTAGGAGGAGGAGGCAGGGAACGAAGATGGCCGAGGAGGAGGAGGGGCTGCTCGGCACAACTTTGCCGCTGGCCCTACACTAGTACCTTCGCCGCGGCCCGCACTGAAGTTCGTCGGCGGCGGGTGTCTGCGTTGCGCTAGTGTTCTGAACTGCTCGGCCTTTGCAGGAGAAGGAAGAGTTC